AAATTTTGCAGACCCTAAAGCAAACCCTAATATGACATTTAATTTCAATTCTCACTTTACATATTCATATTCTGCCTCAACCTTTTAATAAACGTATAATTGAATTTTAAATATAAATCTCAATGTGTCAAACTATGAAGTGAAGGGCATACCTTAGAAATTCTTTATACCAAGAGGACAAATGTGAATGAAAGGCCTTCTCAGCACGCACCCAGAAGCTGGTGCGGCGAGCTACAACCTGCGCATGTCTCCCACGTCCTTTATCTAACATCCTGGTCCAGAGCCAGTTCCAAAGCCAGCAAGGCTGAACATGCACAGAGCTTGCTGGAGCTGGGTCCAGCTACCCTTGCAGTTAGTGAAGGGGACAGAATTTGCCAGCCCTGGATGCAAAGTAACTAACGCCATAGGGTTTGAGGCAGGCACCTTGAGGCAGGCTCCTGGAAACCCAGGCCAGCGCCAGACAGGGAGAAAATGTTGCTGCATTTATTACTGGAGTGAGAATATCCCACCCAGCTCTGCTTCCCACTGACCTCCTGGGCAACCTGGAGTTAGATGGTCAGTGAAGGGGCCAGAGACATAGATCACCATGCTGAATGAGTGCCTCTATACCAGAACTGCAAATAAAACAAAGATTTAAAATGTCACTTTTGGCTAGTGATGACAATAGTGGCTAGAGAAATAATTAACACTGATTTCCATATTACTGATAATTCTGCAAATGAAAATGAATGGGGCCAAATGGTTCTGAGAATTTACGATAACTCCAGAAAGTCAGGAAATCCAACAGAGTCTGAGCACTTTATTTGCAAAATAATTTGAAATTACTTTGCATAGTAATAGGATTCTGGAGATATGTTGTTAACCATGCAGAACAGCCACATTGATTGAGAGCTGCAGTAGAGAAAAATAAAAGGTTTTTTTTCACAACAGAGGATTGCAAGACATTTTTGTGACCTTTTTAACCAGATAAAAACAAATGTCATCCAGTTCACCCACCACAAATCACCAGCACAACATCACTTGAAAGACAGAGATAGGTCACCAGGCCCACCAGAAGAGACACTGCCTGTTTTCACTAGACAAACCAAAGCAGCAGATCCAGAAAAAATTTCTGTAGCATTTCCTCATGTGCCCTCAGACATGCTTATATGGAAGTCACATCATCACTGCAAAAAATTAATCTTTTCAGTATATGAGAAAATATTTAGAAAACATGCTAATAAATTAATCTTATTTATCTTTTAATAAATATATACACCTAATATTTACCTTTAAAATAAAGTCAGACCAAAAATGAATTGCTGATTAACAGAAAGATGCTCATAAGCTGCTATCAGAGTGCTGCTGACACTCTTCCATCTCATGCATTCATCTCCTTCTTGGAGCATGCATTTGACATCGATTTACTGCAATTGCACCAGCCTGGCATCAGAGAGCAGGCACTACACAGGAGTAGCCTATGGTCTTCCAGCCACACATCTATACACAGACCCAAGAGCTGTAAGCTGTAACTGCCAGTTCCTCCCAGAAAGTCTCAGGGCAGAAGGACTAGCTGACCTAATCAGTGCATTGTTTAAATAGGTTTTGCAGTGAGGACACAAGCTAATCCTTGGTTGACAGGCCAGCCAGGGGAATTTTTTTTTTATTTTTCTGTGATTAATGGACTTGACATCCATGTTCCCACAGCTTCTGCTAAACATGCAGTTCATACCTTATTGTTAAATACCACCAAGAACACAGAAAACTAAACTCTTATGACAGCAGAATGACTATGCCAGAGGGAAGATTTTTTTGAGACAAATATTGGATTACTCCAGAAATGTAACACAGACTAATAGTGCACTACAAAAAGGTTCATGATCTTGGGCCCCTGAATACCTTGCACCCTTAGACTGACCTTTTTGAATAGAAAATAGATTGTGAGAGTTCAGAGATCTAAAGATGTTATCCAAAATTATACTGGGAGATCATGCTCACATACAACGTGTTTGTCCTATTTAAGTCAGGGGCATATGCAATCAGCATGACCTTTCATTTTGTATTTAGTCACTGCTCAAAGCAATATGACTAAAGCATTGATGGAGGTCTCCCTCTTCCAGAATTCACAGGTTGGAATGTGAGACGAAATGCAAGATTCAGAAATCCTGATTTTTGTTTTTCTCTACATTTTGCACAGATGCCAATAATAAAAAAGAGTTAAAACATGCCAGTCTGAAATAGAAAAGCAGTGTCAGTTCATAAGGGATGCTGTTTAAACAGTTAGCTCTGTCTGAACTATTCTTGTTTTAGACTAGGAAGTATTTTAAACCTTAATTACTACAGTCTGCAAGACTGTGACAGATCTCGCTTTTCCTTATGGGCACCTTGCCAGGATGAAGCATGAATTCTTTTAAGATGACCATACTTAATTAGCACTTCAGCTAACTTTCTGGTGCCTACATGATTCAATAGACTACTTCTGGCTTTGGCAAGTAGATCTGTCTGTTGCAGTTTGGAAGCTTCTAAGGTCAAAGCTATTTTTCATGCATTTTCACAATTTGTCATTATGTCTTGTTTGTTCATGGATTTTGATTTCTGTGCATAAAGTACAGACTAGGAAACTAAAATTTTGTGGACCAAAAAAACCCTTACTTTGAATATTCTTTACCGTATCAATAGTCATCACTCGATTGTTGGTTCAAAACGTTGTTATAGAACTCGGATATGTATTTACAACTACAGCTCTGTATGGCAATAGAGATAATAGAGATGGAAGAGCTGAGTTATTGTCCAGGAGACTGTTCCAGATTCTGAAAAGCACAGTTGGGACACAAGAATGATGTCGTAATAAAAACATAGGAGAAGGCACAGATCGCCTGGAAAAAACAGTCTTCCTTTAGCAGTGTTTATCACCTCTTGGACAGCACGTGGGCTGCAGAACAGCCCCAGCACCGTGCCATGGCATTGCCTCTGCCCAGCAGAGTCCTGGGCCAGCAGGGAGGCACCCTGCACTGGCCCAGCCACCAGCCAGTGCCACCCTCAGCCGCTGCCCCTGCGCTCTCCGCTGGCTGTGCCTGACAGGGGGAGATGAGTGATTAAAGTGACAGGGCTTCAATCCAGAGAGGAGCTTGTTTTAGCACGGGCCTGTCTACTTCAGTAAATCTCCGGCTTTATCAGCTCTGTGCAACTGACTCATTTAGACCTGATCGGTGGCAGTCCATCCTGGCAGCCCCTTGTCAGTGACAGCCCTCAGGTGCCTGAGCATGGCAGGCTTGATACGAGTCAGACCCTGCTGTGAACAGAGATTAACCTGCAAAATCATGCAGGGCTCCTTTTAAGTGTGTATTCTAGCCAGGCACAGTAAAACTACAGACTTTGTCAGACTTGGTAAACTTTCTTTAGCTTCTCCATTTCCTGCACCTTGTTTACATTCACTCTGGAGGATGAATAAAAATAACCAATGACCCAGGCAGCCTGACTACTGCACAGAAACCACATGAGCCAAGATATTTCTAAATGGTCTTTGTATAACCAAGTATTTTGCCAGACAACACTGGAGTGGCTTTCAAAAATCTGCATAGCCATATAGATGAAATATTAATAAATTTAATATTGAAATATTTTATTAAATTAATATTAATTCACCATTAAATTTTTAAGAGTTTCATATTTCATAATAAAATCACAGTGAAACTACCAATAGGGACTTAACATGTGAAACCAATTATACAAGATCATTATGCAATGCCTCAAAAAGCAATCCAAACAGTTCTCAGTGATAAAGAGGAATTAAGAGAATTTTGCTTACAAACCACTGTTTTTGCAAATTCTCACTGGAAAGAAAATTTGTTCTCACTCACAAATGTATCAAGTATGTTACTAGAACATTAAAATATCATTCTTCTTTAGTTCTGCAATATACACATATGGTCCCATCTTTTTTTTTTTTTTCCTACAGCAGTAAAGTCAACCCTCTGAATTTTTTCTGTGGTTATTGGTGAATGTTCTTGAAGAAGCTGACTTACTGACAGGTGAAAACAAAAGCTTTGATTGAAATCAACTATCTTCTGACAAAGCAATAGGTACAATAGTGGTGGTTTTTTCAAGTGGGCCTATTCAATTTCTGCTAGTAGTTCCAAGCCTCACAGTTAGCTTCTTCTTGAGGATCCAATTTTCCTTTCTACAAGTACACCTATATTTCTTCTATCGATGTTATTCTTAAAAAATCATCTTGATAATATCAGATTCATTTAAAGCATAAGCAATAGATTTTGTTCAGTTATTCGCTTTCCTTTAGATGTTCTTCTAAGGCAGTTCACTTTTGCCCTCTCAAGTATTCATAGTCCAACAAACTGCAGTCAGAACATCCCAGTCAGCTCCCTTCAGATGTGAGCTACCAGCTAATAAAGTCACAATGCAGACTACCTTTCACTGTAGCAAGGTGTAGCCAGACTAAATTAATTTTTCAATGACATTAAAATCTTGTTTGTATAACGAACAACACTGGACCGAAATGGTGCATGGGGCTTCATAATTAGATGAAGCCATTGTTTAGAGTCAGACAGTGCCCGTTTACAGTTCAATAAACCACTTGTCACAGTTGCTTGGTCAGAGCAGATCTGGATGTCAATGGAAACAGTTAGCACTGAGGTAGCGAAATAAATTGGTCTCCTGGGTATATAAATTGAACATCAATATGAATATGCCTCATCAGTAAAGACTGTAATTTACAAAGGTTTTATAAATACTGTTTTATATACACTGACATTTAAGAAAATGCCTTGACATCTTTTATGCTTAATTTATTTTTTTTTAAGGCTTAACAATGACCTCTTGTCCATGAGTTTCATACATATTACTGCAAACATTACAATCTAATGCCAGCACTTACAGTACTTTGAATATTTTCCTTAATAAATAAGTATACATCATTATACCAGATTGAGGAGGATTTACATTTCTCATGTTGGTTTTGCCATTTGGAAGTTCCCAAGAGAATCAGACAGAAGCCCACTCACTACCTTGCTTCTAGCCAGGATGAAGTGCAACTTCTTGGTTGTCCCAGCACCATCAGTATGTGTCCATTGGTGACTCTGGAACCAGAACACAAATTTTAACTTTTCATTGTGAGACTCTACCCTTAACTCTTAAATGAGTTAGATTTATTTACATTTTTGCTCCTTAATAATCTCAAGAAAGCCATTAGTCCCACACAAGATCATGTACACTTAAATAGTCAGTGCTTCTTTGTTCTTATTTGACCAGAACTAGATAAATGACTAAGAATAAAAGTGATGCTGATCAGTCTGCAGACTAAAAGATGCTCAAAGTAAATTTCATGAACATCTACTGTCTCTTAGAAAACTCACATGATAAAAAAAATCCTAACACAAAGAAATTTTTTATCTCTATATCTGTGTATGTGTGTGTGTATATACACACACATATATATACATATATACACACACACACCCCCATAAACTGCTGCTGTTCAAAATAACGAAGTCCAGATACAAAGGCTCCTATTAATACTACATTCATTTGCAAAAGTGATCATTATTTCTGGCCAGTGTCTAGACTGAAGAAAAACTGATGGATTGCATTTTCTGGAACACTTCCCAAACCAAAGGACATCAACAATGTTATTATTTCCATGGAAATAGTTTGCTTAGCCCTAAATCAAATTTCCATTTTAACACATTAATCCTTGTACATCTATAAAAAGAGGGGGTGGGAGGGTGGAGAACAATAACATTAGTAAAATTATACATAATTTTGGAAAGAATTAGAGAAACACACTCTGTCTTGCTGTTTCCTTAACTGTTCATTATATTTCTCCCTTTGACACTACTAAAAAGGAAGGCAAAAATATCTATTAGGTTTCAACTCCAAAGCAATTAATCACGTGAAAACTATTGAACTATTTTAAAAGTTACCTCTTCAAAATGCGTAACATGTTTGTTCCTAAAAGATCATTATTTTATTTCAATGCTATTTATAAATGACTTATCGAACTGAAATGCCTCTTACTTTCAACTCCTAGCACATATTCCAATGCCTCTGAACTCTCTCTGCATTGCTACTCTAACATTATTTTTCTGTTCAAGAGAAATGTAGAGTATTCTCTTTCATACAAACTGCAATACTTCTATTTACCAAGCCAAATAAACAATAAATTAATTTGCTCCTTCTTCAGAGCCAATTCAGAGATTCTTTACTTTTTTCCCCAAATGTCAAATATTGAACTTTTTATTCTAAATCAGCCCGTTCTGTGACCAAACACCAAGTTCATTTCACTTGAGAACAGCTAGCTCTATTTTTCTTTCCAAAGCAAATCTCAGAAAGCAACTCAGGCCCAACTAATTACCAGCAGGTTTATTAGAACAGTCTAGATATGGGTCATTTCAATAGAAATCTCTGCAGGAAGGGAAGAACTGCACATTACTGTGGAATATAAGTGACAAGATCATTACAAGCTCCCTGTGCCTCCCTTAGCATCTCAGGTCTGTTCTCCTTCAATTTCTGTGTCCTCTTTACATTCAAACACAGATGTCATAGTTTCAGTTCCTCTCTCACTTTCTACTATGTTGGAAAATTAATTTTTCACTGTATCTGAAGGTTGGTTGGCTTTAATAACCCTGTCCAAAACAACTTGGAACAACTCATCTGTATTTCTTCACAGCCTCAATCTGACAGGATCCTTTCAGGACAACATGACTTTAGCTGTTCAGAGACATATTTCTACTTGCTCTTTTTTCCCCATGTAAATGCCTAAAATACTATTTTTATTAAATTTCTTAGATTGTTTCTCTAGCTGTCATCCTGTTTTGCTACCTTGAAACACAAGAGTTGAAATTCCCTGCACACTATTAATATAAAGTTTGATAATTCAGGCCCAAATTAAAAATCATTTTTTCCAGACATAGAAAAAATGTCTTTTCATATTTTTCTTTTCCTAAATACACAGAACTCACCAGAATAATGCTGTCTGTACCCACCACAAAAGGAAATTCCTTCCAGGAGGGAACCAAGCTACAGTTCAGGTAACCAAGATAGGGAAACCAACACAAAGTCAAGAGTTGGGGAATCTATGAGCATTCAGCCTCTTACAAAAGCATGGCTTTCTATTTAAGTGCATTATCAAGACTTAGACATTCAATCACACACATAGCTGTAGTATGATTATTTCAGTGAGTTAATAAAAGAGGCACTGTTGCCACAAGAATAAATAATAATTTGATGGAAAAAAAAATTCAGAGACATCCCTAAAATTACCAAATATCATAATCAGAGAAATATAGAAACAAAAAATGAAACTAAAGAGCTCCAGTCAAAGATCAAACATTTGTTATTTTTCAAAACTGGACAATAATTCCATTCAGCTGTTTCATTTCTTTTTTAATTAGTAATTGATTTACAGTGGAGGATCTGCCACAAATTAACCTCATTTCCAGTTCCAAGTTTTTACCTCTAGGAGAAAAGTAACACCCCAGTACCAAGAAAACCCCCATCTTTTTTCCACATGAATACCACTCTGTCTTCCTTCAATCTTTCCACCATTTCTGGCTCAGAAATTACAAAAGTCAGACTTCTGTCTTTAGTATTCCCCAAAAGACCTACCGTTCTCATAATTGAAAACCATTTTAAACTGAAATGGCATTATGAGCATTACTGTACAACTGAAATAGTATGCAAATTCTAACAAAAGGCAGTATTATAATGCATGAGTATGAAAGTCCTAAAACATGACACTGACCATATTAATCCTGGAGTCTCCTCCCTCTATTGAAAGCGTGCCTTTGCAGCCTTCATGTTCCCTTAGCAGAGCTTTATTTTAGCACAGCAAATAAAGGGAAACTCTTTCTTCTTGACTCAGGCTGGTTTTCCTTCAGGTAGATGAACACTGAAGTAGAAAGAAATTGTCAGTGTCATACCCTGCTTGAATGAAATCACTGTGCCTCTTATCACAGAGCAGAACCAAGAAATACATCAATAAATAAAGACATATTATTCTAGACTGTCATTTTGGTTATTAGGGTAATGTATTCCAGAAGGAAGGGAGGAAGAATAGAGTGCTCTTCCAGTAAATATGTGGCTCTGCAGGTATTAACTGAACAGAAATACTGTAGCAGAGCTCCAATTTGCAGGAGCCTGCAGCAAGGTTGCATTCACAATAAGGTCAGTAAAAAATGGCAAACACATCAGCAAGTAAGCTACTCCTGTAAGTGTGTGACACTTTTTCCATCAATATTTTGTGGGAATTTAAACCACAATGATTTTATTATTTTATAAATCTAGGTTAGCATGTGTATAATGACATGTCAGTTCATGCGCAGTGTCAATATTAAATGCCAGTTTTGAATTCAATCAGGCATGTAATTAAAATGAAAACTGATTGACATTTCCAAGGAGCATTAACTCTCCCAGAAGTAACTCAGACCAACCCCTAAAGAGAGCGAATTACGTCCACCTCAGTGTCCAGCAGTCCTCCTACACAGGGTATGAGCAACAACTCATTTCCATATACACCACTTCTGGATTTAGTCCAATTTTTCAACTGTCTGTTTTTTTTAAAAATAGGGATGCACACTACCACAGAGGTATTGGCCACCACTGGTGGTAAAGGTCCAGAAATACCTCTGGCTGTGAAGGATATAGCACACAGCCACAGCTGTAGAGAAGACCTGCCAAATTTATTTAAGTATCATATAAAGCTTTGGCAACTTGAGGAAGCATAAGAATAACCTGTAAATGATCTGATCATTTCACTGTTATTTTTCATCTGATTTGTCAGTTAGTTGTTAAATCTTGGTGTTGCTGAATTCAAGCAGACTTGTGTCACTGACTTCAACAGACTAAATATCTCTCACCACAGAGACCTTTCCTGAAACTGCAGTCAATAGAAATGTTATTAACTTGTATAATTGCAGAAAAGATTCATTATTACATCCACTAGTCAGTATACAATATGACAAATCAAACTTCATTCAATATCCTGTAATTAAATACACTTCTTTCAACAGCTGGGTCATTTAATGCAGTGAGGCAGCGTTCCCTTTCACACTGCACAAATACTGCCTGGCTAAAGAAACTGAAAACAGACCATACCTGTGCCAACCATAACAACTGCAAAGCTGAGAATGAGAGGTCAGAGCAAGTGGAAGTGGTTAAAGGGCCACTGAGGCACGGCTGGGCTCCACCAGCTGAAGGCATTTCACCAGGGAAGAGAAAACATGGTTTTGCTGCATCTGCAGAATAGGTTGTGAGTGACAGGATGGATTACAAGGGTCAGTGAGTAGTCATGTGTGAGTGCAGCTAAAAGGAGTTTAGGAAATCTTGGAAACTGTTAGTGGGAAAGTGATGACAAGTAATAGGTTTTCAGGGGGAGGGGGTGGATCAGAGCTAGAAGACGCCAGCATGGTTCCAAAGACCATGACCAAGGCTCTTGTTTCAGGTCTTCTTTTCAGCAATAAACTTAACTAAAAGATTTCTTGAATTTATTTTTATTAATTTTTTTTTTTTTTTTTTGCCTAGCTCTGTCTAAAGCACTCAAAAGATGTCTCTGATTACTTCTCTGGTCATTTATAAATATAAAAAGCAAGATCTACTTGCATGATCACAGATATTTGTCTTGCATACACATACCTTTCCCAAATATAAACAGCCTAGAAAATCCAGCCTGCTTCTTGCAGAGCTAAAAAGACAACAAGGTATTGACACAAGTCCCTGAACCAATCCATCAAAACTGTCAAGAGAGGGCAGTGGTTACTAAACTACTGTGCACTTTGCACAACCAATATTACGAGCAGAAGAGTGTTCCACTAGTTCCAACTGGAGTTGGGGTTAAAATTAAGTAGAAAGTGCAAAGCAGATGTCTGAAGTTTACAGGAAATGTGACTATTAGTAGCTGTGACAAGGAGAAAAACTGAATACCATGACTTCACAGTCATAGCTGAAAGTAGTGTTTCTGGTGGTACAGTTCTGGATCTGTACCCAGAACAAGTGGAAAGAGAGCTGGGAGGTGAAGAAGGTGTGCACTGAAATCCAGATGTTCTTAATTAAAGGGGCAGGAAACCAGCTGCCCCCCTCAAAGAGCTTTCCACCACTGGCCAACACTACCTCTGGTTTTTATTGAGCAAGATGGGTATTTTTTAGCCAGCTCTCTGCAATCCCACCAGTCATGCCTGCATTTATTGAACCTACTCCACTACCATTATGCATATGACCTCAGAAATCAGGTATCCATTTAGAAGTTCCTACAGTGGCTGAATTTCCACCTCACCTTCAGTTTATGCTGCCCACAGACGTGCATCCTGCCTCTCGTCTGAGCTATGGCACATGTGCTGATCCAGGTCTACAGAAGCAAGGATGGGACTTCCCTGGAGCTACACGGTGGACCTCCTGAAGCAATGACTGTCTAGTCAAACAAAGGTAACAGCACTACAACAAAGAGTTCTGGTTTACATTAGGAAGCTATTTTCCACTGGTTGTCACACCCAGATTTCAGTGTTTGAACTTGTCTCTATTCATTGCTCCTCTAGGAATTTCTAAAGCTTGATGTGGAGCATGGCTCTGTCTCGCCACAGAACAGAGCAGCACAAACTCCTTCAGCCCTTTTACAGTACAACTGGAGATACTGCAAGGATAGGGGGATAATTTTTACAAACTTATTATTAGATATTGGAAAAAAAATTTGCTGATAAGTGATTAAACAGATGTGCTGTTCTAGAGCGTGTAGATATTTTGGTTTTGTTTTTGATGAAGAGGACTGTCTTTACCATTAACAAATAATTATCCATTTAAAATATAAGATGTAGATGTAAAAACTTTGAGTCACTTACTGCAGTTGGAAATTACTGATGAGTACTGTTGATTACCGCTGCAGTTTCTCAAAAAGCTTTAAGATTAAGAGACATTCACTGCTCTTCTTCTGTCAGGTGCTTCAAAAAGAAACCATGAGAAGAGACACACAATGAAAAACAGCAGGTTATGGCACATGAGACTCCTTATTAAAAACATAAAATGCCTTTCACTCTTGCTTTTATTAAGTCTACTTTTCAAGCCAAATGAAAGTTAGGTGAGCCGATTATAATACAAGTCACGTCTAACTATTCCATTATCCACGTCCTGCAGCACGATAGCCCACAGAATACCTTTTGAAAGCTCTGGAGTGACGGCAGCAGGTTGAATATAATGAACAGTGTTACAAATGGGGACATGAGACGACAGGGCTGGTGAAGAAGGAGTCTCCTGGAAACTGTATGGCTGTAATTACTGAGTGCTGGTGCTGTCTCAGTTGGCTTTGAACAAAGGTAACCGCCTTCAGCAAGTTATATTTCCTCAGCTAGCTAAAATGAAACCAGTCAGAGACACAAATATTTATGATACACAATACATAACCAAAGTCATTGTCTGCTTTTATTACCTTATTTTTGTTGTCACTCTGAAGTCTCCCACATCAACAGCACAAGAGAATTAAGCAGTGAAGCACTGAATTATTTTTAAATTAGATTCCCAAAACGAGAATGTTGAAGTCATACTTAGAGGAAGATAAAATGCTCTTTTTCTGGTCACTTTGCTTGCACGTCACCTTGCTTCTCAATAACTCATTCGGTTTGTTGCTCAAGAATCTGTCAAGCAGAAGTAGGTGAGAACAGAGACCCCTGCCTCTTTGCATGTGAGCACCCCTCAACAAACACCCAGCAGGAATAGTTTGGTAACAAAGGGAGCATCTGGTGCAGAAAACATTGGAGACAGCAAGACTGAGAAGAAAGCTCAGGCTAACTTATGTTTTCTCATCTGTGATCTGTTAAATCTCAGAAATGGGCTCACTTGCCCATACAGTGAAATACCAGAGAACAGCAGACAATCATGTCATAATTAGATCAGACACAAGGCGAGAAAGAATATCTCTGTTGAAGTTATTTCTGTTATTATCTGCATGCCCCAATTCCTGTTTCCCTCTTACCTCTTTTCCTGGAGAATCATAAATTCTGAAAATTCATTTCCCAACACTAGTGATAATCATTAGGTTATATAGGAGAGAAGACAACTGGAGCTATTATATCATCATTCTTCATCTTTATACCAGTTAAGGTTTAATGCCTGCTGGCAACTGAGTACCACACAGCCACTCACTAACTCACTCCCCCGAGCAGGATGGCAGAGAGAATCAGAGAAGTAAAAGTGAGAAAACTTGTGGGTTGAGATAAAAACAGTTTAATAGGGAAAGTAAAAGACACAAACACACAAGCAAAGCAAGGAATTCAGGCAAGCAGGCGGCTTAGTCATTTCCAGGAAAGCCAGGCTCCATTGCACATAATCATGACTTGGGAAGACAAACACCATTACAGAATCACTGAGGTTGCAAAAGGCCTCCAATATTATCAAGTGCAACCTTTGACTAAATACCACCATACCCATGAAACCAAACAGCTGAGTGTAATCACTCCAAACACCCCTCCTTCCTTTTCCCCAAGCCTCATGTGCTGAGCATGACTCCAAATGGTCTGGGATATCCCTTGGGTCAGTTGGGGTCACCCGTCCAGGCTGTGCCCCCTCCCAACTCCCTGTGTACCCCCAATCTCCTCACTGGTGGGGTAGGGTGAGGAACAGAAATGGCCTTGATGCTGTGTGAGTGTTGCCCAGCAATAGCTAAAACATCCCTGTGTTATCAACACTGCTTTCAGCACAAATCCAAAACACAACCCCAGAGCAGCTACTGTGAAGAAATTAACTATGCCCCAGCCAAAACCAGCATAATACCATATTTTTTCATGGTCAATTATTTAAAGAAGGCAAAAAACCACAAATCAAAACCAAAATAGGTTCACAGAGGTAAAATGAAAAGTACTACAAGTTCCAAAAAAAAAACTTTATAATGAGCAATTAAAAAGAAGGGTAAGTTAACTAGTGAAGAGATGAATAAAAGATGATACAATATGACATAAAATATAATGAATGGAATGAGAGAGGTCAGCCAGGTGCACTTGTACAGCTCTTCAGTGTTTTCAAATATTTCATATCACACAATGATCTCAATGATACAAGAGAATATATTTTAAATTGGACAACGTGACATACAGAATGAGCCTGCAGAAGTTACTGCAATAATATTTGAGTTATATCCAAAAAATCCAGAATTTTATTTTATTTGTGGATGACCAGTATTGGTTTACATTTCACTGTGGAGGCACAGAGAGATACCCACAGCAGTTCTCAATTACCATAAGCCAGTTATGGCTCTGGTATTGTCATGGTACAAACACGGTGGGAGCGCACATGAAAATTTCTGCAGAAGTGAACCAGCAAAGAATGAAACATCAAAGCTTTTACACATAGACACTGTGAAAGAAAAGTTATTTTACCACTATCATCACAACAGGAAAGCAGGAAAAAATGCAGCACAGATTTACAAGGTAAAATCGGAGCCCACACTCTCCATCCCACTTTCACTATCTATTCTCATTTAATCCTTATGAATAAGAAATTCACTTGAAAGGGGGGGTTTCTATGCTTCATTACTCTGTTCTCTCTGAAGAGGCATAACCAAAGCCATAAGGGAAGCATCCTTTGTCAGATCAAGCATCAAACCTGGGGAGAGTCCACGACTAGTGATAGAACAAGAAGACACAGGTTTTAGTTGCACCAGGGGAAGCTTAGGTTGGACATTAGGAAAAAAATTACTCACTGAAAGGGTGATTAGACATTGGAATGGTATGCCCAGGGAGTCACTGTCCCTGGAAGTGTTTAACCAAGACTGGATATGGCACTGATGTCTGGTTAACATGGTGATGTTGGGTCATATATTGGACTCGATGATCTCAGAGGTCTTTTCCACCCTAATTGATTCTGGTATCCTGTGACTATTTTGGGGGTCAAAGTGACAGAACTGCTGAGTCCTATCCAAAAAGAGCGGCAGCTGTGTAGTCCTGCTTGGCAGACCCCAAATGGGTAGAAGTGGCTACTGAGCCTCAAGGACACGTGAGATGAGGAAACCAGGCCCAGCCTGGACAGCTGAGTGCTTCAAACAGAAAGCAGGAGTAGAACTTGGCAGATTCAGCCAATGAGGCCACCAGACATGTAAGTAAGGATAAACTTCCTAGGAAGTGTGTCAGGGAGCCATGGCATCCACTGGCACTAACCCTAGAACACACAAGACAACTTTTGGTGGATCACACTGCATGTGCAGCTGCTGGATGGTGAGCAGCCATTGTACACAGCCCTGCACGCAAGAAAGTCTCCTATGCAATGAACTCATCCTTTCCCAAGGAGCACCCACACTTTTACCCTGCCTACCACCCTAACAAAGCACTGCAGGACAAAAAAAAAAAATGCAAGACCTTCATATTAGGCAAAGAAAACAGTGACTGTTAGTAAAACTTCACACAAATAAATAAAAGTAGAGAAAAGCAAGCCTAACTGTCAGTACATATTCTCTAATTCTTCCCCAGAGGCTCACATCTTACCACTGCTAACTACTGTGCCCTAAAGGCCTCTGTGCTGCAACTACAGTTCTGGTTTTTTTAACAGACTCCTGCCCTTCATCACACCTATTACCACATTACATCCTCCCACTGCTACTCTAAGCACCTTCTATTCACAGTATTCACAATGGGCAATTTCACAAGGAGGGCAAAATAAAGCAGCCATGCTTAGTCTGGAGCACACAAATTTACTGACTATAAACTATGTTCATACTGTTGGTACTGTTTAAAAGTGTTTGGCACTGCCAGTGGCCTGAGAGGCTGACAACCAAGCCTGACTGAGATGTGAAACTTCAGCTTCCTTTTCCTCCTATGCATCCTCCTATGTAACTATCCTGCCGGTCACAAAAAGTAAATACACCTGAAATGTCAACCCATTAATTTTCTAGATTTAAGCTCTTGAATGCTCCATCTAGTTGGTTGACACGGAGCATTAGGAAGCCACAAGACATGCTTCAACAATGGACATGGAAAGCAGCACAGGCCCCTGGCTGCACAGGCATGGAGACCTGTTGAGCTGCCACCTAGCCCAGGCACCCTTTCAGCAGAGCCACCTTGTAGAGAGCTGCATTGCTTGGCCAGAGACAATTTAGCCCAAACCTCAGTGTATGGGGAGGCAGGATGGGTAAAGAGCTGCCTGGATCATCAGGTCTGCTCTCCCATCATCAGGCAGCCATACCATATATACCTTTCCTATCAAACCACATCTTAAAACTACTTGAGTAGGTAGATGAAAGTAAGGTACTGCTATTAGACAGAAATTATTGCATCTAAAATTGAGAAATGCTTTTAACCTGTGCTCCTAACAGGACAACTGAATTTGCTTTTGGGAAAAAAACAAAATTAAAAACTTTCTTGAGAAGTTGTTCAGCTCAACTACAGACAAGCAGTAAGGTATACTACAGCTTAACTCCAAACACAGAAACACCAGGTGATTTCAATTGCTGACTCCTAGATAAAATATTCAAACAAATGAAGTGACAAAGAAGATTGAGAGTCTTTTGCCATCTGATAACAGTGTGTCATGCATGGTTACTGAGGGCATTATTAACACACACACATACACCCAGTGTTGAAGACTTCAAGGTTTTCTATATACAATATCTGTTAGTAAATTTTTTCATAGGAGAGTCATTAAAGGCATTTCCTATGGATTTTTTTATGATGATAATATTTTATTTGATTAATAAGGAGGGTGAAGGGGTTTTGCCAAATCAATTCCTAATTATACTGAATCAAATACAACAAAAATATCTATCAGGACAATGACATCTGCTACCATGTGATTTTTACTACACAAACTATTTTATGTCAGACTTACGGAAATTTTGACTGAAAGAAAAAATTCAGATCCTACTTTAAGGCTTCTGGATTTGTCCTAAAAGTAAGGTGGCATTGCAAGAACTGTAGAAATAAGGAAATAAGCCTGAAACATGTATCAGTAAAGTCAAAAGCATTCTGAATTTTGTTCATCACAAAAAAAACCCCACTACAGTTCAAAGGCTTCACCTAAACAGTTTAAACAATCTGTGCACTGTATTACTAGTGGTAATATCCACTGGCTGACATTTAAGAGACACGAAAAAATAATGTCTCAAAAATCATTCAGATAAAGGTTTATATCTCTATATTTCTGATCAAAAACTTAGGATGCAATTGAGAATACATGGCAGAGCAGATTTGCCCTACAAAAACTTCTGCTAGGAAGCCGTTGCAATCATTCTGAGCTGAGATTTTGAAAGAGGAAAAACAAAGAGCAATATAGGCAGTAATTGCTCATGTTAGTCCATTCAGACAGTATTATCTTTTATCTGCAGACTGCCTGTAACACTCCCAGCAATGAGTTGGTAGGCAAGGCAACAAGCATTATCTTTTCCAACTTGGTTCTTAGTTAAAGAGTATCCCTTCCTATATGCTACATCACTTACATTGTTCATACTGCTGTTGCTATCAAGCGTGTTACGCTGCCAAGAGCGCCGAAGAATTCAGCATCTGTTATGTATCTTTTCCCTATTTAGGGTAAACAGTATGTATTTATCAAGAACCCGTCTCTGTTGATTAACCACCCTGTTTCTCCCTTGCTTTCCCATTTGCAATTCTCTTCCATAAAATTTCCGCCTGGGCTAAATCTTTGCCTGTACACACACCATATGGCACAATGATATAAATGAGATGAGACTAACTTAATTGATTGTATTAGACCCCATGAAACAGATTTTAAGTTCAATGACGAGCATTTTTTTCACCTATGCAGGACACAGAGGTGTCACCCAAGCCATGAAGCAGCAGGCTTTTGCACAGAGAAGTTATTTTTGCACAGAAGAGAGGAATTCTTCCTTTCATAAACTGGAGATGAAAGAATAGCAGTCTTTCTATGCATATGTGCTTTATGAAACTATATTTGTCTCCCTGAATTGTACATACTGAAGAACTGACACAGCCATATCTAGAGCTCAAGACATACATGAAGATCTTTACCAAGCAGAGCAATGGAAACCCTAAGAGTCCAGCAATCACATTCCAGTAGCTTTACTCACAGAGATATAAGAACCAGGCTGAGAGAGACTGCGAACAAGTGACTTTCTCTGCTCTTCCTGCTGTTTTTTTGGGTTTTTTTAAGATTACTTTATTCTGAGATGTAGGGATACACACCAGCATCTCTCATGTAGTTTTACTATCTATTATGTCTAGCGCCCTGCCAAAATTTT